TGTACGAAGGTCCCAGAAGAGAACTCAACAGCAAAAAGGGAGGATCATTGCTTGCTGTAGTGGTGTGGCTAGAGACCCAAAGAATCCAGGCCTTTAGAATGAACTTAGAGAGCATCCAGTCCAACTGATTGTCTCTGAATATTCCTACTAAAACAAGGGCGCTGTGTTGAGCAGTGCCAAAAGAGTCACTTCATCTACAGGAAAATATAAAACATAGTGCAGTAAAAATGTACAGTAGTGTTTTACCCAGAAATGAATAAAGAAAAAGAAGGTAAGTTTCTTTTTCCATAATTTATGTGATTTGCAATTAAAGGAAAATTTCTAACTAGTAATACATTGACTCCTTCCCAAATGTCAGTACGTCCACAGCCACATGACATATTGCAACTTTTCCCAAATATCTGTGTATTCTAAGCACAGTGTGTCAAGAAGACTGATCCAAAGACATGATTTATGTTGCTGCCTGACAGATGATGTCTGCAAGGCATGCCGTCTAAATGGACTGTGCTCTGGCAGTTACCTTAGTCATCAATTCTCAGAGAATTAATGAGTACCATTCATCCCAATAATAGAAACCAAGGTCAGGGCCTCTTCCATGCTCTGTAATTCCATTAGCAATGCACAGAAAGCACTTAGGTCATAAGCTCTGTAGACCTTATAACTGAGCAAATGGAACTGCGTCTTGTTTTGAGAGCGATTCCTCTCTGAGCACACCCCTTGTCAATAATTTGTTGTACATCAACATTAGATGTACTTACATATGTCGGGAAAATGCTAGTAAAGAAGAAGTGAGGCTGTCTTTAGCTGCCAAGTGTTTCAAGTACTGTTTTTATTAAAGTAAATGCCAATAGAAAACAATTTTAATAAAACCCTGTCAAGTACTTCCAATTACTGGATGTACATTTTTAAATTGTGTATTCATTCTAATTTTATGTAAGCCACTCGATCATTCTCTGTGGTTGCCATAGAATTTATTTTAGTTTTTATTCTTTTATCTTGGTTTTTATTCATTTATTTTAGTTTTTATTCTAGCTCCCCTAATAAAGTGAAAATGGCCTTGAAACTAAGAGTTATCACCCTACGCAAATAATTTGGTTTACAATGAAACTTTCATCTTGAAATCTCAAGCAGCATGCTTTTCTAAGCTGTCTCTCCAGTCATCCCCTCACTCCTCATAATTCAAATTGCTTTCAATATACCACATATCAAAACAGAAAGGAATAACCCCGAAGTTGGAAGCCACAGGCATAGGTTTGAATCCTGGCTTTGACGCTTATTTGTTTTCTCAACAGTAGAATAAGCATATTACACCTCTACAGCTGCTTCACTCTGCTGCTGTAAGGATTTCAAATAAGTGTCGAGGAGGCCGGCCCAGTGGTGCAGTGGTTAAGTTCACACGCTCTGCTTCGGCGGCCCAGGGTTCGCGGATTCGGATCCTGGGTGCGGACCTACGCACTGCTTATCAAGCCATGCTGTGGCAGGTGTCCCACATAAAATGGAGGAAGATGGGCACGGATGTTAGCTCAGCACCAATCTTCCTCAGCAAAAAGAGAAGGATTGGCAATAGATATTAGCTTAGGGCTAATCTTCCTCACCACAAAAAAAAAAAAAGCCTAGTACAGCACCTGGAAATTAACAAATAATAACATTGCTGTTGGGCACATAAAATTGTGTGTATGTGTGTGTGAAATCTATGTTTTGAAATATTTGGGGTTTTATGCCCAGTAAATTCTAAATGATCCACAGTAATGGAGGGGAGCAGAGACATGAATAATTCAAAACAGCAAATCATCCAAATACCATTCTTATGTGTTTTAAAGTGTATTTTTAAATTTCACTTCTAATATGAGTGTTTCTAATGTCCAAAGAAATGACTTCAAATAAAGGAATGACACTATGATGTGAAGTTCCAACTAAACAGGATCTGAGGAGCTGTCCAATTTTCCTTGCACTTTCTCCCCTCTCCCTTTCTCTCGCCTCCTCTCCTCCTCATGGCTTGCCTGTCAAAGACGGCTGCCACAAAGAACCCGCTTCAAGTGAAGTTCCTGCCTCCCACCCTCCCCTGGATCAGGGCCACAGGTGAAATGTTTATGATTCCCTGCTTAGAGTCAGGCTGCGCTCACCAAATAAAGGCACCAGATGCTCATGAAGCAAGTGCTCGAGGGGAGGGAGGAGAGAGTAAGTGTGGTGCAAACCCTGTGGAATCTGACAGACTAGGATTCTAAACCCAAGGTCACCTTATGTGACCTTGGGCAAATTGCTATCCACTTTATGCTTCAGTTTCTTGCACTGTAAACATGCAATGATAACACTATCAGGTATCTCATATGATTTGTTAAGGATTCAATTATATATATATTAATGTAGTTACAATTGTGTCTGTGCATGTGTGTGTGTGTAAGGCTCAATGTAGAGAATAAAGAGATCTATATTATGCTGATTTTTCTTTAGATAATAAACTCTTACTTACAAATTGGTGCTTTCCTATAGCGACCTGCAACATCTTTTTTGTGAAACCAGAGGGAAAAAAATAGGATTCTTGGCCTCATCTAGTGGCTATATAATCCCTCAAAACACATCTCTCTTTCCCAAATGAAGCTGTTTTCCTGTGTTGATTCTTAGGGGATATTACTCTGTAGAAAGCAAAGCGTTTCTTGAGTTTGAGCAGTATTACAAGTTTAGCCCATGTAGAAAGAATTCAAGCTGGTACCTACATACAAGCACACATACACATCAATAGTGATATTAGAAACATTAAAAAGGTAATAGTAATGAAAACAGTGAAAGAAAAGTTAATATGTTTAGATCGATTCTTACATGCCAGGCACTGTTCTAGTCACCTTACATATGATAACATTTAATTCTCAGAACCATCCTGTGAGGTCAATGATATTATTATCTCAATTTTACTGGTGAAAAACAGAAACTCAGAGAGGTAAGGTAACTTTCCAAAGATCACAGGATGGATAACAGTATATACGTTATGGCCAGGGAGACCATGTCATTTATTGACCGTTCCTGGACACTGGTGAACCTGAGAGGAGGCAAAAACAGAAAAGAAGGTTCACTCTAATTATGGTTCAAGACCATACTCTTTGCAATGCCCCTATTATTTTATAAAATAAGTAAATGAATGAGTTATTACATTTCTTATTATATTCCTACTTGAGAAATATATTGTCCTAAGACTCTAAGATGATCATCAGCATGCTTTAAGTGTCCTTAATTAAAGCCATTAGCACCTGTAGTACATAAAAATGTGTTTGAGCTTCCAACATGATGAGTTTCACTTCAGAGACACAGGCTTAGCCAATATTTTCATATGGTATCTATAACCTTTCACAAGAGAAATATGATCTAGGTGCTGGTTCATTAGCTCACTGATTGTCCTTCCTTACCGTGATTATGAGCTGATGTTCTGCCTTTCACTGTAACTCATACGCAAGATTGAGAGTTCAAGGAACAGATATCCCTGGAGCACAATGAGTGGTGGAGTGTGTCTTTGACTTTATGCAGATTAAATCAGTACCTGACCTCCATAGGGAGAGCAACAAGTCATTGACAGGTGATTTCCTGGCCCAGGTTCCCTGTCTTGAAGGGAGAAAGGAAAGGGGACAGGTTTCTAGATCATAAGCTCCTTGAGGGAGTTTACAGGACACTGTATTATTGATGTCTGACCCCAGAAATAGTTAACCTGATAGGCACTTAAACACATACATTGAATAGAAGTCAACCTGCTAGAAAATCTATATCCCCACACACTTGGCTCTCCTCACACATATAAATAAATACTTTAAAAAGAAATTTTCATTGTTTTAAAGAGTCATATGCCAAACTTCATCAATTCTAATACACATTTTCCAAATTTCAATATTCAAAAATTAAAGAGCATCTTACAGTCAATGGAGTGTCATTGTTTAATTGGCAGAGTTTTTTTTCTTTCTTGTGGTATATAAAATAAAGGTGTGTCTGTGCATCAGTGACATCTTAGATTTGGTGAAATACATTATGTATCAGATATTAGCAAGATCTCAGCACCACTTAATGCATTAAATCAGAAAGAAGAGGTAAGATCTGAAAACTGCATCAACCTTTACTTTAATTTTTTTTGTTTATTGCGGTAACGTCGGTTTATAACATTGTAAAAATTTCAGGTGTACATCATTGTACTTCTATTTCTGCATGGACTACATCATGTTCACCACCAAAATACTAATTACAACCCATCACCACACACATGTACCGAATTATCCCTTTCACCCTCCTCCCTCCCCCCTTCCCCTCTGGTAACCACCAATCCAATCTCTGTCCCTATGTGTTTATTGTTGTTATTATCTACTACTTAATGAAGGAAATCATACGGTATTTGACTGCATCAACCTTTAAACTAACACTTAGTAGATGAATGGGAAGTTGATCATAACGTCTTCACCAGCTGGCTACTGCCCATATTAATATATATTTCTTTCCTTTCCTGTTTTCTCCTCTTAGTAAAATAGAGAAGAGGGTAAATTAAATTCCTGGCACTTACTGTGTCTGTCTGAAACCGTGTATTATTGCCTCTAGAGTAGGAGCTCTTTGGGCACAGTGTTCTGTCTGTGGTTCTCAAATTTTTGTATATATTGGAATCTCTCAAGGAGTTTCTTAAACATCCATGGTCCTCACCTCCTGCCTGAACATTCTGATTCACAAGGTCTGGGATAAAGCCCAAAGAGCTGTATATTTAATCCTAGGGCGATTATGATGCACCCCAATGTTTGAGAACCCCTGGTCCATGTGTTTAGAATTGGCCTGTCACTGCAGACTTGAAGTTAGAAACTCTGGTCTCAGTAGTATGCACAGGACCACATCTGATAGGAATGATTGTGATTTCAAAGGCAAATATACCTACGAAAGAAGGAATTCTGATACTGCATTGTTTCCTGTGGGGCTGGGACTCAAAGCTAGAACATGTATTGGTAATGCCCCTGACACCTGTTTCTGTTTGGGATTTTTTTCAGCTGTGCCCCATAAAATTGGACGCATCATTGATGGGAGTCCTGCAGATCGCTGTGCAAAACTAAAAGTGGGAGACCGGATCTTAGCAGTGAACGGCCAGTCTATCATCAATATGCCGCACGCAGACATCGTGAAGCTCATTAAGGACGCAGGTCTTAGTGTCACCCTTCGCATCATTCCTCAGGAGGGTGAGTGCCTGAGCCGGGGTCGTGGAGTCCACTTGGTGCCATCAGTGTGGTGTCAGAGTGTCAGAAGTTGACTGTTACTTCCACTTTTGTAAAAATTCACACTCTCTTGCAACCCATATCTTGTTTACTCAGTACCAATTTCATTCCCAGATCGAGCTATGTGACATCATAGATAAATAGTATGAATCCCAAGACACTGGGTTATTCAGTCATTCCCTATGGTCCTGGAACTACCGTTCTTATGGTTATATTAAACCAGAACCCATTCAACAGAGATGATAGAGTTACAAATCTGAAGGAAAAAAAAAAAACAATGTATTCATGTTAACGGTTAAGCTCTGGAGGATTCTTCAAAGTCGGATTGATTTTGAAAAGCTTGAGGAAGTTTTGTGGTATAAAGAGAGCTCATTTAGAAAATGTTGCATCTGATACGAATTTTAAGTTCCCACTTAGCCTTTTGAGTTTCTCTGTACAAGGACGCCCCCCTGAGGCTTGAAGAGTGGTAAGCATCACAACTCACAGCTGTGCCTTAAGGGGCCATGGAGTTCTGAGTACCAGTTCACCATAAATTCACCATTTCCAGACGTAGTGGGTTCATTACTAGTTTGTAGCTGCTGACTTATTAATGATATTCGAGAATTCAGTCCCTGGAGCTCACTGGTGAGTGGACCATGGTGTCCCACATGGTGAATGATGGGCTCATTCACCTTGGTCCCCTTGGTTTTACTTAGTCTCCTGATTCCATCTTGGTACTATCTAACAATGAGGCACCAATCGACCACCTGACTTCAAATATAAAACAAAGGTTCTCAACTGAGGTGCTTCTGTGCCCCCCTGGGGACATTTGGCAATGTCTGGAGACATTTTTGATTGTCATGGTTGGGGTGGGGATGCTACTGTCATCTGAGGGGTAGAGGGCAAGAATTCTGCTAAACATCCTACAATGCACAGAACAACCCCTCACAGCAAAGAATGATCTGGCCCAAATTAACAGTGCTGAGGCTGAGAAACCCTGATACAAGTGGAAAAGGAATTTAGAAATTTGGGCTGTGAGAAAAGAAAGCAGAACAGTGGTTTATAAGGGAATGCTAATAGATCACCTCCCTTTTGTCACCCAACCAAAAGAAAAGAAAATGACCATTTTTTTAACCTGTTATCTACAGACACCATTATGTATAAAATATTCAATGGAAATTAACTCTAAGCAGGGTTGCTCACAAAAAATCTGACTTGTGTCTCCGTTCTCCCAGTCTTCAACATGTCTGTCCTGCTCGTACTCCAACATAGAGAGACAATATCTGTTGAAAATTCTATGCTATTACAAAAAAGGCCAAGACTCAGTTTTAACAAAGAACAACTTTATGAACCTTCTTCTGTCCAATGTTTTTTCCTCTTTCTAGAGAACCATGGAGTACAGGGGGTTATTAGGCAATGAGACTAACAAGGAACTGGAGAAAAGATTGTAAAAAGCGTTTACTTTTATTATGGTTAGTTTCTTATGCAAAGTTTGGCATACTGGTAAGACTTCTCGTCATAACCAAAAAGTAGTGACTAAAATGTTTTCTCTCAGTAAGCAATACTGGAAAAATAGAATATGTTTTAGAGCTTATGCCTTTGAATTATTGTTTCATAGTTTTAACAGATTTTTCTTTATTGTAATCTTTTCTTCTGACAACATGACAAGAGAATCTGTTCATAACCTTGTTCAACAACCCTTATAATTAACAAAAGAATTCTAATTCTGGGGGTGGTACTGGAATTTGAGAAGTTTAAGCTGCTGTCTTAAAGCCTAACAGAAGGAAATAACCAAAGCCTTGAGTCATCTGCAGAGGCAAAGAGTTACCACATCTGGCCACCTTCTGCCCTTCATCAAATGCCAATCTGTCTGCATTTGCCACTTTGGTTCCCCATTACAGAGCTCAGCAGCCCAGCCTCAGCACCCAGCTCAGAGAAGCAGAGCCCCATGGCCCAGCAGCACAGCCCCTTGGCCCAGCAGAGTCCTCTGGCCCAGCCAAGCCCTGCCGCCCCCAACAGTCCTGTCACCCAACCAGCTCCTCCTCAGCCACTTCAGTTGCAAGGACATGAAAACAGGTAAAGTTTCCGTGGGCTTTTCTGATTCTGAGAGGTGAGGGGGTCTGGGAGAGGGAGAGTTTGGGACAGGACAGGACACAGGCAGGCCAGAGATTTTCATAAAGTAAAAATTTCATGTGCACCTATGTGTGATTTGGAGATTGTGTGTATGTTATAAAGGTGGTTTTATCAGCAAACACAAGTGTCTGTCCTTCACAATAAGAGAACCTTTCCTGAAGAAATGATGAGCGATTGCAGATGAGTAGGGCTTAACTAGCTAAAGAGCACAATAAAGGGACTCCAGCCAGAGTGAAGAACCTTCCCAAAGGCCCTTTGGCAGGAGGGAGCATGTAAGCACTAAGGAGGGAAATAACGCCACGTAATGGGGGTAAAGAGGAGGGAGCATGGTTTGAGATGAAGCCAGTGAGGGTGGTAGGGCCCGCCCTACAAGGTCTCATAGGCATGTTAAAGATTTTGGCCCTACAAGATCTCGTAGGCATGTTAAAGATTTTGATCTTAAGTGTAGTGAGAAGTCATTGGAGGGCTTTAAGCTGAGGATTGACATCATTGGATTTGCTTTTCAAGATCTCTCAGTTGACCCCACAGAGAACAGACTGGAAACTGATCAGGGTGAATGCAGGTTAAGCAGTTAGAGGTGGCTGCCAGTGACCATTGAGCCATGAAGGTAATGGCTTGAAAATAACAATGGTGTGGAGAAGGGGAAACGTTGAAGGATTTGAAAACATTGATAAATTTTAGCATTTTTACTGCATTTCACTTTATATCCTCCCACCCAAAATCTAATGAGGTTCTTTCATTCCACGTCATGAACTAATGTAAGTAAGGTACTTTGAACTTCAGAAAAAAAAGGATGCCTTATAAAAATAACATTGTCTTCTCATTGTGACTTGTGTGTAATGGGGAGCCTGGGTTAGGTTGAGCCATTAGAGAAAGGTATGAAGACATGTTCCTATGTTGTTTTCTCCCTTTCGAAGGAGAAAAACAGAAGAGCCCATGGGAACATCTCTGAATACAAAATCCTCACCGGTCTTTTCCATGATTCTAATGTTTTCTGAACATCTGCTTCCCATCTCCTGCCTCCCATGTTGGTAAGATGAAGTGACACCCAGTTTTTGAGTCCCAGAACTCTCTAGGTTCATCACTCACACTGTAGCGAAGCAAATATTTTCCCTCTGCCACAGGTGTTATTTCCATAAAGCCCTGTTCTGTTCTGATATCCCTCATTTGCTTTCATAGAAAAGTAAATGTCTGTTGTCCTCAGCTGTTTATGGTTTTAATATATTCCAGGGAAGAAAAAAGACTAAGCCTCATAAAGCAAATGATACAGAGGTAAGAATCTGACAATCCATAAGAGGAGTAAGTCCTGGGTTTCCTCAATAATAAGCCCCAGATGTGTTCTCTTTCACCGCGTGTTGTTTCGACAGATTGCACCAGCTTTCCCCAGGATTCATTTTAGCCTCAGGAGGGAGGATCTGAGGGCTCCAGCAGTCCCCGAGCCAGCTTCAGACTCTTTCTTGCCTCTGCCACTGTTGATTAAACTTCCAGCCACAATTCCATCTTCACCTTTCCAGAGTCAGACTCCCCTTGAGATGGGCTCTTGCTTTTAGCCTTGGGGTGGGTAATCTCACCCCTGGTGTGCAATAGTTCAGTGGAGAGAATAACAGTTGGCGAGGCTACTATTCTGTCCCCATCTGCTACTAGCTCATGACTGGGACTCAGCCCCATTACAGAAACAATGGTTTTTGGATATTTTTTTGCCTGACTACAGAATAAAATATTTCCTACCTCTGGGATTAACAGATTGACCTGATCCAAATTTTTATAAATCATCAACAAATTTGCCTAGAGTTCTTGGGTATTTTTGCTTCAGTAATATTAAAAGCCTAGAAAGGGCCCACTCCAGTTCTAGGACCCTATCCTGGCACTGGGCTTTCCTGGCTTAACTCTTCACTTGTTACTGGGTGGCTCATTTGCGTATGAATGAAGAGATTCAATGATCTCACAGATACCAGAACCATTTTCCTAGCTACATTTAAAGATGGTTATGGTATCAGAGAGAAAACTCTTTGCCTTTTCCTAGGCTAGAGATGTCTCCAAGATAGCTTGTATGCCAAGCACACAGTATGAATTTTTTATTAGTTCATTTGTACAGGAAGTGCCCACCTACATGTTAAATTAAGCCAGCACCCGTGTTAAAGTGGTATAAAATAAAATGCCAATCTGCTTGCAAATTTTTATTTTTTGAGTTAGAATGAGTGACTGCTTTATCCTGTCTTCTTTACTCTTCGATTGGCTTCCAACTGATGCCCTGCACACCTCTACCCATTTCTCTGTCCCTTAACATCCTCTTGGTGTGAGCTCGGGAAACACAAAATAATTTTAATATGGACATAAACAAAACACTATTCAGGGAGAAGCATTTATTGAAAACAACAAAAGAGCCATTGTGTAGTATATTCCAAAAGTAAATATAAGTAGCAGGGTTTACCTTCCCCAGCAAGGGCAATTGATATTCGACTGCATTTTAAATAGCAAGATCAGTGCAAGAGCATTGGAAATTGACTTCTTTCACAGTCTTTGAACCCTAGATACTTGAGGCTGGAAGGAATTCTTGAAAGGCCCACACAAGGTGAAAACCCACCATAAGATCCCCTACCACATGGGCAGCGTTTCTTGGTTCTTGAACTTGTTCATACTATAAAATTCTGCTAGAAATTACCATTAGTGATCTAGTTTTATCACCTCTAAAGTCACTTTAATAATGGAATTAATAGCTATGCACAGTTATACTGATGACCTTCTTTCATAAGTAAAGGAGCTTTAAAGAGGCTAATAATCCTTTAATAATCTCGAGTTTTCCTTAAAGTGTTTCACAAATTCAAAGCAACGTAATTTTTGCCCTAGTCAGTGTATCATTCGCTTAAAAGTTAGCAACACTCATAAAAAATTAAGTATATTTTTCTTATTGAAGAACTCTTCCATGTGCAGCTGGTAAAATCCTGACACCTGGCACTGGCGTAGAATGAGGTCTGGGTGCTGGAAGGTAGGTTTAGATGACAGCTGTTGCAAGTTTTAACCGTTCCTGTTTCTAAGCTTTTGTGTCATCTTTAGGAAGACTCTGCCATTTCACCGTCTTTTTCTGTATCTCGTGACACATCTGCTTAGAAACGGAGCACGTGATGGATATTTCATATCCATATCACACGCATAATGAAAATAAAGTGACTGTGCTAGAACTTAAAACAATGTAACATCTAAACCAGCAAGCAAGCTATTTCTAGAAAGGAACTGACACATACCAAGTGTCACTCAGTTCAATTCCTTTTGTTTAATTCATTCATTTGCATAGTTAAGCATCTCAACGCATATTTTAAATAATCCTGTCCTCTGGCATGCACACTCTCAGTGAGTGAGTGGACCACTTGGTGAGGTACAAAGCAAAGCCTAAATTATGCACCTCACGAAAGGAATGTGTCACTTCCGCAGGTTAAGTAACAAATGGGACCTACTCAAAGCATTGATTAAAATAACTACATTACTAACCTCCTTCCAAAAACCCCAACTAAATACATCTACTGCCGTCCACTTTCAGTGTGACCTTACCAAACATTAGATTATGCTAATGGCAATTGTTCAGGTGAGTGATTTTTTAAAATATTTAATACTAATCAGCATCAGTGAGACCATAAGCCAGTAAAGAAAAAACCTAGTCTCAAAGGTAAAAATTCTACTGATTTTGAACCATTTTCCTGACACATGTGAGTTTTTCCTTGGTACTAAATATTTTCTCAATTCCTCAAACCTTCCATATTAATTTTAGATAAAATTATTATTATATAGAATGTATATTTTTAATCTTCCTATATCCCTGGGTAGCTCATTAGAGACTATTGCTGTGCCAGTAGGCAATGAACTACAGAATTAAGTGGCTTTTATACTATGATGATAATTTTTCAGCTTACCTTCCTAATGATCCCCTAATGGTAGGTACTGGCTATTTTAATCCCTTTTTGGAGCTGGGAATTTCCTCAGTTGAGAGCAGTTTGGATTCACAAAAGAGCACTAAACAACTCGTTCCAGTCTCTGTATTTATTTTGTTAGTAACTGATATCTAGAAATAAGAAAGAGACAAATGTTGGACATCATAAACATTTTTGCCTTTCCTTCCGTCTTAAGCCCATGATAGTATCTGACGCTAATCTGATAGCTGTAGTCTAGTATTTAAACTCTACATAATACGTTTCTACTCTTAACAATGACCCAGTGACTTTCTGCTTGATTTGTAGTTGGTGATTATACCTTACTATCACTCCTATAACCTCTGGAATATATTCAAAAAGACCCTACCAGGCAGGTTAAAATAGCCTTTAATTATGATTTTGTGGAGTGTTTAGAAATCATTTCAATCATGTATTCATGAAGTAATGAATGGTGTGTGTGAGAGGTTGAGCGAGTCGGTTTACTGGTGTTGAGACAGACTGATATTTTGGGATGTACAGTTCAGTGTTTAACTCCCTAGATTTGCTGCAATTGTACAGTTTTTAAATAGCCAAAGTCAAAGAGAGGGATATCCATAAGTCCTTTTCCACAAAGTTCTGGTTGAACCATCATTTTTACCTTGATTCGTTAAGGAGCCAAATGAAAAGTATACAATATGGCATTTGTCAAAGATTGAAAAATACTTATCATTTATTTAATCTTTTCATACTCCTGAAAATGCAAAAGGACCACCAAGAAGTGTGGCCCACATATGCCTAGAGATCATGTGATCATTCTAGTCTCCTTAGAATGCTGAGATACCAAAGCAAATCCCATTTCCATTTATTTAGTTACAGGTCAGAAGTAAAAGCGAGGCAAGATGTGAAACCAGACATCCGACAGCCTCCGTTCACGGACTACAGGCAGCCCCCACTGGACTACAGGCAGCCCCCAGGAGGGGACTACCAGCAACCCCCACCCTTGGACTATAGGCAACCTCCCCTGCTGGACTACAGGCAGCACTCCCCTGACACCAGGCAGTACCCTCTGTCAGACTACAGGCAGCCCCAGGTACCTGAAAGACCCCATTAAATTTCATTTTCTAATGAGCAGACCTATAATTCACATACATACACACACACACACACACACACACACACACGACTCTGATACATTGATTTATGGTGCTCAACAACAGTGAAAGAGAAAATTCAAAAGAGAGATAATATCCCCCAGGCCTATATGCAATAATTACGTTTGCTAAGTAAACCAATGAATACCAAAGTGAACAAGCTACACAGCAGTTCCTTTAATGACCAAGTGAACTGTGTTCCGATCTGCTCAAACCGTTGGAATTTTGTCTTGCAGTTTGCTATATGGTGAATTCAGATTACTTCTTCTCACAACACGGTGTCTTTTGGAACACATTAACTATGAGAGAGAAGGAGAACAGAGGGACTGACCACAGAAGCTTCTCTGATACTAAACAATTGTTTATTCCGTTTTCTCCCCAACCCCAAAGGATTTTGATTATTTCACTGTGGACATGGAGAAAGGAGCCAAAGGATTTGGATTCAGCATTCGTGGAGGAAGGGAATACAAAATGGATTTGTACGTGTTGAGATTGGCAGAAGATGGGCCAGCAATAAGGAATGGAAGGATGAGGGTAAGAACAGTCTCTTTTTGTAGAATTGCTTAATTCTGAAAGAAAATCCCACGGTGGTGTCAGAGGAGGACTGAAGTGTGCCATTAGGCAAGCAGATTTGATGTAGGTTTTGCCTTCTTTCGATTTTATGATCCAATTTTCTAAAGGTTTGGCCAAATGTTATTTAAGAATTATAATATCTCTCATTTTCCTGCTTACAGACTTCTAATTGACAAATCTCAATATAGTGTGTTATATATATATAGTTTCTCTAAAGAGCCAACTAAAGAAAATGAACAAACTAAAGAAATCTAAGAAATAGCTTAAAATGGAAAGATCGCTCCATAATTTTTTCCATGGTTTGATGATTCAGTTTTCATTTGAGGTTGAGTCTTTTGAAATTTATTTTTAGCTTGATGCTTTTTTTCCCAAGTTTATTAGTCAAATGGTTCTGCGCTTCTTTGGAAATATTTCTTTTGTGTTGACTGGTCTTTTGGCTTTCATATTGGGCAGACAGAAGCAGTAGGAGAAAGGGGGACTAGGTTTTTTGGATACATGTTGTCTTTAAAAATGGTAGTAGTCAGAAATTTTCCAATTTCAGTGTAAGTTGAAGGTGGATTTTTCAATGTAATAGTTACTTTGAGGTATCTGATGGATGCGTAACTGATTCTTCATCTAAAGATACAAAACAAAAAGATAACAATATAGAACATTAGTCAGTCTCTCTCTCTCTCCCTCTGTAAAATGGAAACTAGTAAGCACATAATAAAAGTTAGTTATTATAAATAAAATCTAGAATTCATTCTTGGCCTCCCTCCTTGCTCTTTAAGTTAATACAGAATAGCTGTGGTTCTTGAGTTCTAGAACTCAAGTTCTTGTGCTGAGCCTCACCAACCAATTGCTCCCGGACAACTGAATGAATCTGTTATTCCTACCACCAAGTCCACCATTTCTGTGGTTCTCATTCCCAAGTCAATGAATCATCCACAGTGCAAAAGCAGAAGGAATGTAAATCGTGTCTATTTTTCTCCCTCCCTTCACAATCCTTTGAGAACTGGGAAGTATCCAAGTTGGAATTTGGCCCTGCCCTGATCCAACACCAGCCTTCTCTTACCCCTTCTACGTGTGGTTTTAGGATAGGCCTCTGCATGGCTTCTTGCCTCCTATAAACAGAAAGGCACTTTCTTATGCTATAAAGTCAACTCACAAGTGGTTAAATAAAACAAAATTAATCTTTGCAATGGCAGGTGAAAGCAACACATCATGAAGGCCATGAGTGAAACAACCAGAGCCCTGTGAGAGAGGACAGCTCCACCCCACCCCCAGTGGACTTCAGAGGTGGCTTGTGTAGGTTCCAAACAGTGGCCACATTTTTTAACAAATGGTCTAAATGGCTGCTCGATATATACAGTACTCCCAAGGCATACAAGCCTAAATATAGAAGTACTTCTATGTAAAAAGAATACTCTTTCTTACAGAATTTAAGCCAAAGCAGTAGCTCTCAGTGTGGTCCCTGTCATCAGCATCACCTGGGAAGGTGTTAGAAATGCAGATTCTCAAGCCCCACCACAAACCTACTGAATCAGAAACTCGAGGAGTGGGGCCGCTAGGCTGTGTGTGCGTGTGTGTGGCTCAGGCGTCATTAATCCCCCCACGATCTTCTCTAAGGAGATTTCCATTCTGTTTCAACGGTTTACCTGAGCTCCTTAAATCCATGTAAACACAGATTTAGAATTCTGTAGGCAGGTGCTCAATTTTATGAAAGACGTTTTTTCCTTCTGGCAGGTGATAAAAATGAGTCCTCTACCTGGGTTTCAGGAAATAGTATTTTCACTTCTTGTCAAAGATTATAAAAATAAGTAATATTTCATCATTTTCCATGCCATTTTTATAAAGCAACCTATTCTTTCTGTGTACAAGCTGTCCAAAAGGAATTATTATGGCCAGTTTTAGATAATATGGGTTAGTTTATTTTGGACTACAATATATATATTTCTAACATTTAATTCTCAAAGAAAATGAGCCACTTGAGAGTCATAGAAATTCCATGGATCAGATTTTACTGGTTGATTTTATCTCCAGTCTTTGAAATAAGGCTGAGAACTTGGCAGGGATGGATGGAAGACTTTTTTCTGCTTTTTATGGGTTATCTTTGATATTCCAATGTTGTAAGTTTTTCTAACTCATGGATTCTTAGAGCACTAATAGGGAACTTGTCGAGAGGTGACCACGTCCATGTCAAGGAAAGGGACTACATCATGTAAGTTCGAAGGTGCTCATATTATCTACTGTCAGATAAATATTTTATGTCTGTACAGTTAAAGATCAATAATTGTTCTTGATCATAGCACATAATTAATTCTGATCTTGTTTTCATGTTTATTATCAAATTTAATCATTTAAAGCTAATCTTTTCTACCTTCATTAGTGCTTATCAAAAATTGGTAATAACTTTTAATTCACTGATGTGTTTATTTCAGCAAGGACCAGGATTGAGCAATATTTGCATGACTCAAGAGTTTGATTATTTTAAACTAACGCATAAACTGGATAACATATAGGTTACCAATCTGGAAATTTCACAATAAAATGACTATGTAAATCTTAAATATCTGTGCAGGTGATGCTTATAAGGCAGCTGTTCACTCCGTGGGTATTATAGCTTGGTTTGTAAAGTTCCAAGACTTCTGAGAAAAGTCTGTAAACTAGACATTCACAGGCTATCATTAAAAATAAACTAAAGAAGAAGAGAAGCTAGTGCCAGGTTCTTCCCAGCCTTTGAAACACTTGGGCACATTTCTCCTTGTTAATGGGATTCCTCCATCTTCCGTCTTTTTTTTTTTTTTTTTTTTTTTTTGAGGAAGATCAGCCCTGAGCTAACATCCATGCTAATCCTCCTCTTTTTGCTGAGGAAGACCAGCTCTGAGCTACCATCCATTGCCAATCCTCTTCCTTTTTTTTTTTTTTTCCCCAAAGCCCCCCAGTAGATAGTTGTACGTCATAGTTGCACATCCTTCTAGTTGCTGTATGTGGGACACGGCCTCAGCATGGCCGGAGAAGCGGTGCCTCGGTGTGTGCCCGGGATCCGAACCCGGGCCGCCAGTAGCGGAGTGCAAGCACTTAACCGACAAGCCACGGGGCTGGCCCCATCTTCAGTCTTAATGCATTGTTTCCTCTACGCCCAAACTAAATACACACATACTTCATGATCAGGTAAGTTTGGAAAACACTGTAAGTTTTTTTTCCTTTTTCACGATCAGAAACAGAAGGAAAAAGTCAAGTAATGATCTGGTAATGGCAGGATATCTTACATTAAATCCAGTACAGTAAAATTGCTCAACTCAAAATTACTACGAAAGAGCTGGTGATTCTGAAAAATCATTTCATATAACAATTAATGAATTACTGTGCCCTTGGGTTAGGGATGTAAATAATACTACTTTTGAACAATTCGTTAATGCACCAGATGTTAGCCTCTGCACCTGAGACTTTTCCTAGGTCTTCTACGTTGGTCTTGGTTGTAGGACAGTGATGGTATGTGCCTGTTTAGTTGTAGGAGACTTTGCTAAGAATACGGAGAGAACCAGGTTTAGTGGGTGTCAGAGGAGGTGGCTAGCACAGGTGTAAGGACATCTTTCTCACACTGCGGATTCTAAGAAATGATGGCACAGATATATATTTTTAAAGCCTGTCCTTAGGCGTCCAAGTGATATCCCAGGTATCCAAGAGAAATGCCGATGATCTTCCCACCCCAGGGGTTCTTTCCTGGATCTGGTGAGAGACAGGTAGACATATCCCAAAAGTGAGGCCCAGGGGAATGATTTCACTCTAGTCTTTCTGGGCACCTGCAGCAGTGAGAATTATCTTAGCAGAGATCTTTGGCAAATTAGACTGGTTTTTTTTGTTTTTTTGTTTTTGTGAGGAAGATCAGCCCTGAGCTAACATCCATGCTAATCCTCCTCCTTTTGCTAAGGAAGACTGGCTCTGAGCTAACATCTATTGCCAATCCTCCTCCTTTTTTCTCCCCAAAGCCCCAGTAGATAGTTGTATGTCATAGTTGCACATCCTTCTAGTTGCTGTATGTGGGATGCGGCCTCAGCATGGCCGGAGAAGCTGTGCGTCGGTGCGCACCCGGGATCCGAACGCGGGCTGCCAGTAGCGGAGCGCACGCACTTAACCGCTAAGCCACGGGGCTGGCCCCAAATTAGACTGTTTGACTTTCAAATTGATTAAGGAGTATTCTAATGGAATATGGAATTTTTTTTCTTCCTCTGAAAGCATTGTATGTTTTCTCAATTTTTTTGTTAAATAAATACTTTTTTTCCACTTGACGAAACAAGAGTCAGATCAGGCAAGTATCCTGATAAGTACTTATCCTGATAAGGTATCCAGATACAGTCAATGGGTTCCCTCAAAATATGAGAACATACTGACAGCAAACCACAATCAGAAAGTAGTGGGGAAAATAATGGCTCCTTTTTGAGGGTCAGATTTACACACCAAAGTCTAGATATAGGGGAGAGGATTATAAACTCATTTTCAGAAGATCAATTACATGCTTATTTAAAAGAGAAAATCTAGGACCCTGTGTATCAGAAACATATAAGAGTAACTAAATAAACAAATTTAAAGATTTACTAAAAATACGATATTTTGAGCCCTTCTAAATCCTCAGCCCTACTCCAAAAATAAGCAAACCTCCAAAATAAGCAAACATGGTGCATCTACTTTGTTAAACTTAGAAACATCAATTTACTTTGTTGAACCTTGTGCCTATACAATAAGAAAAATGATACCTACTGTATAGAGTTGTTGGGAGGGTTTGAGAAATTTTTCAGGAGGTAGTATTGATTTTTTTATTACAACAATAGAGTGAGGTATTAATTTGTGAGGGACTCACATATTAAGAGAGGGACTTAGATGTTAAGATATGCCATGAAATAGAATTTGAACAAAATAGTGCAGTTAGAATAAATAACAAGAAAAACCATGTGAATGATAATTACATGAAATATTCACTT